GAGGAAGAAGCTTTCAATTAATCTTATTATTTATAGATGTTTATCTTTAATTTTGAACAATTTGTATTGATCATTTGCGATTTGCTTGTATGCTCTAGATTGGTGTTTTTTGTATGATTAATTTGTATGAGAAAATTGATGTTAAACTTTTATTTTGAAAGAAACTTATTATTGTAAATTTTTTACCACAAAAACCCACGGGTACCCATGAACCCGCGTTGTCGTCGTCGGAACGACGGCGGGGTCAGGCAAGATGACGACGAGAATGGGACGGGGAAGCTAATGGAAAATCGACGACATGATGGCGCCGTGACGACGGGAAGATGGTGACCTGACGACGTGACCACGGGACGCCGACGCCGGATGTCAACGTGACGACGGGACGCAGACGTCGGGATCGCTGACGAAGGTTGTCCAGACGACGGTGGCCGGTGGCGAGTGTCGAAGCGGTTTTAGGGTTCGGAGGACGACATGGGCTCGAAAATAAATCTCCACCCACGTTTGTTTTATTTTCGGCAGTTTCCTAATAGTAATTATTAATAGTTAATTTTTTACTCTATTCTCGTCTTATCCGTCCACGTTTCTGGTTGGTAGTTGGACAATAATTACTAATGACTCTCTCTCCTTCTCCTATTGGTTGAAAAGGGTTTAAGATCTTTTTCAAAAAATAAGACTTAAGAACCTGATCTAACCCGGCTTTTGCCCCGCTTTATCATAATTTATGAAAAGTGTTTTCATAAAATAATTAAATATTGATGTTCCTTTTTCAAATATTATATGAAAATGCACAGACATGTCCCATTTTTTACAGGGATTGCTAATTATCGCCCTAACTTGAAAATTACAACTTTATCCTTTTCTTATTTATTGTTAAAAAATAAATTATTTTAACAAACAAAACTCATCCGCCAGTTTGACGTTGCAAGTCTTCTCTCTCACCTCTCCGTTTCCCGTTCCAGAACAAATACCAAATGATGGAGTCTCGTTGCAGGCTGAGAGTTTTCCAGCAGGCAATGATCTTTTGATTGGCTTGTATCTCTGCATACTCTTGTCCCATTTCCAGTCCCCAAAACATAAGTCGCCCATTTCTCCATCCTCAGCAGATTCATCTCCGCCTCCTACCTCGCCCTATGCTTACTCATCAAAACCCTACTGAATTCCTTCGCCAAACATCAGCATCCACCAATCCAAGCGAGATCAGGTTGAATTCCGGAGTTTCGATCTCTGCTCTCAACCTAACTTCTCCCGATTGGCCTCCGGCTTCATGTATTGGGCTTTAGGTACCGAATCGGAGTAACTCTCCTCCTTTGCTATGAATCTTCTCGTCTCCTCCGCCAGTTAATTCTCGCCGTCTGAACTCCATGGATGGAAGAATCAAGTAGTGATTTAGGGCTTTAGTAATACGGTGCCGAGCGTAGTTATTGGGTTGTTTACTTATTTGATTTGAATAATAAAGGATAATTTAGTAATTTTAACTTTAAAATTAGGGCGATAATAGTAAAACTAGGGCGACGTTTAGCCATCCAGTTTTTTTATATGTGTGGGTATTATCCAACCTGACTCGCGCTTAGTGCGGTGTGAGTATGGGTGTTGAGGTATGATACCTCACGTCCCATTGTCATCACTAGATTAGAGTTGTGTTTATCCTCTATACATATTCAATGATGGAGTTTGGTTGAAGGCAAGAGGGCATATAGCTAGGAATGGCAATAGGGCAGGTCCGGGGCGGGTATCTCGATACCCATACCCGATCCATGGCAGGTCGGGTAATTTATCACGGGGTGCGGATCGGGGCAGGTCGATCCAATGGGTATGTATTTTATATGGAAACATTAGAAAAAATCATTATTTTCATTATAAGGCCAAGAAACAAATCATTATGTGGTAAGATGTACTTAAATTATTAAAGAAATTGAGGTTTTCACTAGTTCACACATTTATAATAACTAAAATATGATGTAATAAAAGGAAAATCCTAAATATTTGACTATGATTACATATAATTTAGGCAAGAAGGGGTCGAGACTCGAGAATGGGGTGGGTCAGGGCAGGTCGGGTCGATGAGAATACCCATGCCCGTTCCAAAGCAGGTCAAACAGGTCGGGTAAAACGGGTCATGTCAAAATTTGTCATCCCTACCTATATCCCCCTCGAACAACTTTCAATATAGGTAAAATTACGTATACGTAATTCATAAAAAATTTAGGAAATAGACTAGTGAGTAATGCTAGTGAGTGGTATAAGATCCATTATTGAACCTCTCTTCACAATTTGAGTTATTGAGATCAACCGGTTTTTGACATAGTATCAAAGCCTTATGTAATCAAGAGGTCTTGTGTTTGAATCTTTGTGGGAAGAAAGCCTTATGAATTCCTTATGAATTGATTGGCCTTCCATTCACATTATTATTTACGAAACACATGGTATTTTCATGTTAAAACCTGTGCAAACGAAATCCTTATGAATTGATTGGCCTTCCATTCACATTATTATTGAACGTAACCTCTCCCACTGTATAAATCCAGTTGGGAAGAAACCAGTGGACTGTGTGAATGGGTGTGCTCAAGACCAAGTTATGTGGAGACTGGAGACCTTCTGACCTGTTATTTAATTTCAAGGAACAATTTGATAATTAATGGTGAATTTGATGTAGCGGTATATTCGAAGTTGTTGAGGATCTAGAACGCGAAGGACAAACAGTTCTCAATTATAGTGTCTTTTTTACCCAAACAATCTACATTAGGCAGGCCTTAAGGGGAGTTGATATTTGACGCCCTAGATTTTTAAATTTGTCGCCCTAAACTTACTAAATAGACAATTTTGCCCCAAATTAAACTAAATTCTAAAAAATAAAACCCACCCGCATAAGTCAATTCCCCGCCCTTCCCCTCTCTTCGCCCTCTTCTCATATACACAAACAGCCGCCGGCAACCCCAAAAACGATCGGCGACCCTTGCAACCCAGAAATGACCCAGTCCCATTCAAGCTTCACCGCCCTCTGTGTGAACAGTTGCCAGCCTACCACCGATCCTAGAAGGAATAAGAAGATGGGTCGTTGCTCCTCGTCGCCGTCGAGGAAGAAGTTCCCTCCAAGCTCGTCGTCGTCCCTCCTAGAGGCCGCGTCGTCGCCATCGAGACAGAAGGTAACCACAACTTGGCATCTTCGTCCCTACCAGCTCGTTGTCACATGGCCGTACAACCAAGCTCTGCCATCGCTCGTAGTCGCCGTTGGAGGAGGCCGCCGTAGATTGACGTAATTGTTTTATTTCGTTGACGGAAATGACACGAGTTGAAAATCAACCCGTCCGCTGCCGCTGAAAGCAGGTTTTACGTTTGTTGCCGGGGGAACAGGAATAGAATCCGTCTCGCCGCTGGAGTAGGCGGGTAGAGCATCCGTCCTTGCGTCGTCGATCCGATGGGTTTGTTGTGATTTTTAATGGACATTTTCATTTAGAATTTAAAATCAAATTTTGTTCAGGGGAGAAATGGCGGAGGTGATGGATGGGAGAAACTGAGAAAGAACGGCAGGGGAAGGGAAAGAAGGGGTAGAGATGCCGGCGGGTTGAGGGCTATTTTTGGTCAGGGCAAAATCGTCCTTTCATTACCGTTTAGGGCGATATATTTAAAAACTTAGGGCGTTAAATAGAAATTCAGGGCCTTAAAGCTTAGGACTTTGCTACGGTGACATGCATGTCACGGTGACATGCACTTTTCGGTCAACCTCATATAGCATCAGGTCGACCTAATCTGTTGTTTCAGTGTAAAAACAGTTTCATGGTGCCTACTTTGGAGATTCATATCTTACAATTGGCTAGATGGAAATTGGAGATTGAAGGCTTGTTTTGAAGATGAAGTGTCCCTCTACACATTAAGGGGTCGTTTGCTTCAAGGATTTAAAAATGAGGGTTTTGTAATTTAAAAACCCAAGGATTTATCAAGGATTTGAGGCATCATGGATTTGTAACAATCCTTTGTTTGTTGGGATGTTTTTATCATGAATTTAAAGGTGTGGGATTTACTATTTGAAGTCAAAAATTACATTACTGCCCTTTTCTATATGTTTGACATGTTTATGATATGTACACAAAACAAGGACAAAACTTCAAAATTACCTTACTATCATTTTCTATATGTTTGACATGTTTATGATATGTACACAAAACAAGGACAATACATACTAATAAGCATAATGTTGCCACATGGACAATAATAATAAACGAGAAAATTCCGTTTTAACTTTTAACGTAACATAATCAATTACCAATTCTTTGTCCTCCTTTTCAAAAGTAACATATAACAACATATATTAGAATCGGGAGAACAAAGAATTACACGTTCCATGAAAAGGTGAAAGAAAACTAGAACACAAGAAATGATATAAAAAATATAACTCATGTTTGCACATTAATTGAACGTTTATATTATTCATTTATTGTTAATTATAATGTATAATAGTTAAATATGAGGGCAACCTTGGAATATTAAAAGTGCATGAGGGTATATGGGTAAAATCTCATCAAGGATTTATGCCATATTCCAAATCCCACATCAATATGTGGGATTTATAAGTCCGTGGGGTCCACGGATTTGGACCCTTAAAATCCGTGGGCCCCACGGATTTGGTCTCCAAAAAATGTGCAAGCAAACAACTGATTGTACCTAAATCCTTGATAGTTGGTTTTTTGGTACCAAATCCATGTACCAAATCCTTGAAGCAAACGACCCCTAAAGTACTTATTGTCAATTCCTTTTTTTTCTTTAAGATAAAGACGAAACAATAATGAATTTTGTGATCAATTATACAATAAATTATCGAGAAAGTGGGACTAATCAATCAACTTCTTCACCAACTAATTAATTAAACCGCCATTTCAATTACCTTCTAGATCATCTGCGCTCTGCGTGCATGTCCAAGTTAGAGATTTAAAATTTAATACAGAACCAAGGAAATTAAATTACATTGCAAGTTAATCAAATATTTATGATCATTAGTAAATTACTCAAACCAACTTGCCCTTCCCACGATCACCTGCCAATTGCTTGACGTCGTCGTATTGATCTTGATCGTGATCAAGACCGCCGGCAGCCGGAGGAAGAACATCCACGGCGGCGTTAAAGATCAGATCCATGCTGTTCGTACTACTGCTCCCCGAACTAAACATCGCCGCCGCCATATCCGTCACCGGGAACTCCGCCTGATGAATATGATCTCTCCCTCCGCCGCCGCCGCTGCCGAATCTCAACGAGGGTCCCGCCGCCGCCTCTCCGCCGCCGCCGAGCCTGAACTCCATCGCCCATCTGCCCATTGACGAAGAGGAGTTGGCGATGAGTTGTTGCTGCTGCTGCTGCTGCTGCTGGGCGGCGGCCGCGGAGATTGCCTGGTGAAGGGCTGACGTGGTGGCGGCGGTGAGCTGGGCGTCTGGCGGCGGGGGAGCGACGGAGGGCGCGGTGGCGGACATGTGGCAGGTGTGCTGGCCTCGGTAGGTGACCTCGTAGGTGTCCGGGTCGTTGTCCAGCCGCTGGACTTGTTTCTTGGCTGGGCAGTGGTACAGCTTCTGATGCGTGCATCTGAAGTAACCCCTGAAACAAGAAAAACCACGATTAGGATCCATTTAGGGGAAAAAATATACGTGATTTTCTTAACTTTTTTCAGTCATCCATGACATCTTAATTTGGAAAACAGGATAGATTAAAATGCACTAGTAGTGGAAACTATAAAAAAAATCATTATCGATGTATCGAACAATTATTTATGATTTAGTTAGTCGTTCTCTTTTAAATCGTATACCAAGCCATTATTCATGGTTTAGTTGGTCATTCACTTTTGAATGAGTATTATTTGTCAAGAAACTAGAAATGGATAAAGGACATATACTACATGAACTAATCTGTCAACATTCTGTGTTTAGACTATAGAGCAATGATTGTAAAACCGCTGTTTTCCGGCGAGGAAAAACTTGTGTTTGAACACAATGAATGCACCTTTGACTTCTTGAACAACGATAATTACACGGTCCACTCCTCTCCGAACAATGTTCGAACGAGGGTGTTTGATGTTTTTGATGGTTTTTTGGGAACAAGCTAAGTTAATTACACCTACTCCTATGGAGGTTCAGTGAGAGCTCCGAAAACTAAGGCTATGGCTAATTTGCAGAGAAAAGGATAAAGTTTGACATAGTGTGTCAAATGGTTGGTTGTGGACCCCTTTTCCCGTCTTTGTTTCTCCTATTTATAGTCACTGGGTGTAACTGCCTTGGTAACCGCCGTAGTAACTGCTAGCTGGCCTTTTGCTCCAACCGCCTTAGGGGCCGCTTGTCGCTGCCTTTGTGACTAGTTGGTAACCGTCGCCTTGGGGGTCTCGTCTCGTCGCCCTGTCATGACTGGATGGGGTTGAGGTTCTTTGCTTAGCCTCCATGATGAAGTCTTGATCGCACCCTCGGCTGCTTGATGACTCCCCACTCTTGTCGTCTTGAGACCGCTACCATCTCATGACACCAATCCTGGGGGCTTGGTCTCCATACTTAGTCTTTGTAGCCTCATCAAGTTGATAAGTTACACCCTGCCGGCTTGGTACCCCGTTAGGGTGCTACCAAGTCGGCCTTGGGACTTTGTCTCCATATGGCCCCATAAGGACCATACATGGTTGTTTGGTACCTAGTCGGGTGGCCACCTCAGCTAGCCACCATGCCTTAGTAGAATTTCTTGTCTTGTTGGCTTGATACCCTGATGTATGGCTATCAAGTCCGTCTTGGCCCCCTGTTGCCTGGCCACCAAGTCAGTCTTACCGGCTTGATACCCCCTTGGGGTCATGGGACCCTGTCGCTTTGCTTGGCTGCCAAGCCTGTCTTGCCGACCCCGTTGGCTTCATACTTAGCCAAATTCATGCTTTTCATGTCTTGGAACCAAGTCACGCCTTGCCGGCTTGGTACCCTCCTGCTATGGCCATGTGATTCCATACTTAACCAATTTTCATGTATTTTAGTATCAAGCATGCCTTTTCGGCTTGATACCCCTTTGGCTCTATACTTAGCCAAATTCAATGTTTTGGTACCAAGCCCTCCTTGCCGGCATGGTACCCTCTTGCCCCATACTCAACCGATTTTGTCTCAGCACGGATGGTCTCCTATTTGGTACCCGGCTTGGTACCCGGTCGTTTGGCACCCATCGGACGGTGTCATGCTTGACACCCTTGTGGTTGGATCTCCATACTTAGCCAATTTTCACCTCGGCATCATGTTTGACACCCTTAGACGAGACCCCCCTCGGACGAGATCATGCATGACCCCCTTTGTGCTTGACCCCCTTGGACGGTGTCATGCATGACCCCCCTTGTGCTGTGGGTCTCAACACTTAGCCAATTTTCGCCTTCTTTGCACGGTGTCATGCATGACCCCCTTTGGACGAGATCATGCATGACCCCCTTTGGACGGTGTCATGCATGACCCCCCTTGTGCTTGACCCCCTTGGACGGTGTCATGCATGACCCCCTTGTGCTGTGGGTCTCAACACTTAGCCAAATTTTGGCTCTCTTTGCCACCACAGCTAGGGGTACTAGCGATGACCTCCTTGTACGATATCATGCACGACCCCCTTGGATGAGACCCCCTTGGATGAGACCCCCTTGGACGAGATCATGCATGACCCCCCTTGGACGGTGTCATGCATGACCCGCCTTGTGCTGTGGGTCTCAACACTTAGCCAAATTTTGTACCAAGGGGTGGAGGCATCGTCCGGCTATGGGGTCACGGAGACGGTCGGCCATCGTATAGAGGAGAAGGGGTTTGGCCATTTAGGCCCAAAAACCCAACCCAACAAGGCCCAGCTATCTCTTTTAATCATTAATGTTGAGTTGGCCTTATAAATCACTACCACTCCTTGAAAATAATCAATGTGGTATTAAGTTATTTTTTTTAGTGGTAAACAACCGCATTAGATGTTGTACTGAAAATAAGTTAGTGATAATATGGTATTTTGTTCTTAAACAGTGATTTATCATAATTCATGATTCAATCGTTTCATATATATCGCTAAATTGTCTATTGGCTTATGCTATGATATACGGTTTCTCCTATTGCATACCATATATAAGGTACGGTTTTGCAAAAGCTGTGTAAAGAGATACTTTCCCCCCCCCCCCCCCCCAAAATATGCCAAGAAAGCATAAAGAGATACGTATTTGTTAATAAAAAAACATAGTACAGGTACGGTTTTGCAAGAAGGCATTAGGAGATACGTATTTGTTAATAAGAAAACATAGTACAGGTACTAAAGCGTCATTGACCGAAAAATAAAATTTGAAAAAACAAGAAAGTATATGGGGCTTAAATATAGCCAATAAGAAGAAAGCGCCATAGAAGAAGAGATCATCATCTTATTGACGATGGAGCTGAACCGGTAATACTTGACGACCGCAAATTAATATACGTAGAAATGGTTCGATTCTGTGGCGACGACTGGCGTTTACCAGACCATTATGTACGTACGGCCAGTGATTAATTGGCAGTAAATAATTAATGACAATGCTGAAAAGTAATTAATTAAGGGGGTGGGGGAAAAAAGAAAAACCCATCCAGTCCACGTCACGGTGATCGAATTTTCATGGTTCGTTTGCCCAAAACAGAAGTAGTCGGGTCAAGTCAATGGCATGGAATTTTGAGCTGGTCGGATACTCCACACACAATACCGGGTCAAAAATCCATGGTTTGAAATCAACGATTCAAAGGCCTTAATTCGTTGGTAAAATGGTTTCTGAAGAAACCACGATTGGTGGTGGTTACCGCTTATCAATCAATCCATATGTTGAATTCAGATTGAAGTAGTCAGTTAACTTTTTTTCAATGCAACAATCAATATTAGACTAATCTAGTACACCACTTGAAATTAGGATTCCTCATAAGCAAATAATCGTAACTCAATCTAGTTAGCATCGCTCTCTGTCTTCGCGTAATAAACATATACAAAGTTTACTTTATTGGATATTGAGGCGTCTTGTTGTTCATTGACATTAAATGCATGTACAATTTTACTTCATTGGATATTGAGGCGTATTGTGGTTCATTGACATTAAATGCATGTGGCACCACATGCATCAAATGAGTGTGAATCCTGAGACGCTCTATCCAACGGTGTAAACATGTGCTTACACTAAGAGGTGTAAGCTAGACGGTGATTAAATTGGTTTGAACTAATTAAATTGAATAAATATAAGTGCACATCTTGTAAATATTGTCTTGTGATAATTAAGAAAATAAGGTAAATCTTGGTCACAATAAGTTATTGATGATTTAACTATTATGACAAGTGAGTGAAACACATTCGTGTCTCGACGAGTAACAAATGGCCTCGAGGAAGCCTCTATCAAGATTGGATTCAAATTCTCAATATTATTCCATAAATGTAACAAAAGGATTGTGAAACTCTACCGGAAAAATCAGTGATAAGGTACCGTATAGTTTAACTGTTTCCTATCCCTAAAACCGACCGTTGGTTTGAGTTTGGTATTTAGTATTTCCGGTCCGACCGACCGGTACAGTAGGATTTTTTTTAACATTATGAGAAAGTCACCCTAAACCACAATCTTTGGACGTACTATTGTAAAATAGAATCTCTGAGCCACTATATATATTCTGTAGCTAGATTGCATTCATGCATGCATTCCTCCAAAGAGGATATTGCAAATCAATGACAGATTTTGTGAATCATTAACAGATTCTATGAATCTCGCATTTGAAATTAGGGCGATATTGTGCTGGAGCCCATGTCAAAAGAGAGGGTATTGATTACTCGACTCCATTGGTAGAAAAAAGAGGCTCAAATTTAAGGTCGTAAAAATCCAGACAGAGCCAAAGATTGAAAGTGTCAAAGTAAACGAGGTGATGAGGTGCTAACCGTGGAAATCTAGAGCCGAGAATCTCCTTTTGGCCATATTTTCTCCAAGTGAAACCATCCTCCGGTGGGACTTCTGTGTTCCCAATTCGAGGAACCGGTACCCTTATCGTTCGTCTCTCTATTTCGTCCCTCCTGCAAATATTGCATTCAATCTCGTCAAAAACTTATTCATAGGGTTAAGGGGAATAATTCAATTTCAATTTCATTAAGTTAAGTTAAACATTGGTAGAAACATAATTAAAAATTATGTTTCTATTGCAAATTACATTTACAACATTTAAACGGAAAATGATCCTTTCTAATCAGATGTGTAGGCTACGCTACGAATTAGTATGTGTTTAATTTTTCTACAAACTGGGTTGTTTGTATATAGAATGGCACGTAAGTCGTAAACGGTTGTTACTATATCCCCTTTAGAGAGGACAATGGTCTTTGAGTTTACAAGATGATTTCACTAAGTATTGCTTTGAGGGGTTCATGAGTAGAACTGTTTGCTAATATCAATTTCTCCTTGTTATATCTTGAGACGAAGAAAACAATTCCTTATAAGAAAGAAAAGAAGGAAAAAAAAACGCGCAATGTTTGTTCATATAAGAAAAATATATAGTCTAAACTAGATGAGTCATCTCGTTCACAATGTGTGTTCATATAAAGGAAATGAGATTGATACCTAAACAAATATAGTGTTCGAGTAGCTCTATAACATGCATTCCATGTTCACATTCAATGGAAATTAAAAAACACATGCATTATACCCTAGTTTAGCTATGTTGTATTCATATCAAATGTGTTTGAATCAAAACGAACAATACAAATTTTTATTTATTTAAAAAAGAGCGTAGGTGAAGTTAGAAGTTAGTTAGATTTTCTGCACAAGATTGTATAACTGAGTACTAATGTTGGGTTTGTAGGTCTAGCTAGTAATTAGATAGTAATTATTAGCGAAAGATAGAGGGAATTATATAGTGATCAGTGAGTAAGATTAGAAAATTTTGTGCACAAGAGAAGAGAGCACTTAAGGCTAATGACTTGGTCGCTTTTGCTTCGGTTGTTTAGGATGCATGCATAGGGAAAGAAAGAAAGAAAACATCAAGACGTGTATTTAGGAATGCAAAATAATGAATTAATGATCAACCCGACTAAATAATAATAATTCCAAGGGCAATAATTTTCGCTTGCCTTCTTCTCCTCTGCTGAGACCCCGACGAGGACGCTGCCACCGCCCGCACCGCCGCCGAATCCGCCACCGTACCGGCCGCCGCCACCGAAGCGCTGCTGCTGCCAGTGCAAGCAGCCATATTCTCGAGAACCTGCGCGTGGAGCCTCTCCATGGCGGCGGTCCTCAGCCACTGCTGGATCCCGCTCTGGTCAACCGCATTGACCGCCTGCAGCGGCTGAGGAGGAGGAGGAGGGTTGCTCTGTCGGAAGAGAAGCTGCAGCCTGTCCTTGCAGGTCAGGAAGACGGTGAGTATCTCGTCGCAGGATTTGGCGAGCGGTTCGGGGTTTTGGGCGAAGTGGACGAGGTTGGATTCCAGCTGCCGGGCTAAGTTGCAGCCGTGGAGGATCAGGGCTAGGGTTTGGTCCATTTTAGTGGGTTTGTCTGGCCAGTTTTTTTATCAGGTGGGTGTATGTTTGGTTATGGGTGATATAAGGCAAAAAAAAAGGGGAAGAGAGAGTTGCATTTGATTATATACTTGGTTTTGGTTAATGAATGGGTTTGTGATGAATAAATTTGGTGGGTCGTTCAAAGTAAAAGTGTGGGTGTGTATGTGTGGGTGTCTTCTACACGGTACAGAGAAGTAGAAGACGGAGAAGAAGAAGAAGAAGAAGAAGAAGAAGAAGAAGAAGAAGGAGGGAAGGAAGAAAGAAAGGGAGAAGGAGGGAAAGAAAGTAGTAAAGTTTGAAAATATGACCAAGTCATCGGTCTTGCTACTTGAACACTATCGACCTAAAAAAAGAAGAGGAAATTCCCATTGGGAGTTCTTGAAATGCACTTTTCTCCCCCCAAAGTTTGTAAAACGTTAAGGTATTTGAGAGTACTGATCGGAATATCGTTCATTAGAGTACACGATGGTAGGCGGTTTATGTTATAAATCAGTTGGTCCTAATAATTTAAGTTGTTGAGAGAAAGTTATGATGAATTTTATATCATTGTTTAACATGCCCCTCAAACGAAAGTCAACCCATGAGTTTGATATTTGCACAGGCGATTACCATACTTTACATTGTCATAAATCAGTTGGTCCCAATAACTCGAGTTGTTAGGAGAAGATTATGATGAATCTTATATCACTCTCTAACAGTTTCGGATATATGGAACAGTTCGATCACAGTTAAAATACGGTTTCAGTAAAAAAATATCTCACAACTTACTTTTTTATGGGGTTTTATAAATTTTTTTTTTCAAATGGGAACTATAGATCTCATTTACATGTCGCTTGATTTGTTGGCTCGAAAATCTATCACTCCTTGCTAGTTGTAGTATAAGTGAAAAGTTGGATCTAATTATACTCAACTACTCGTGAACACTCATTAAAGTGATTAAACACAAGGTGTTTTGACTTTTGAATTATAAGAATTTAGCCTCCGTGTCAACATAATTCCGAAAACTATTAGCATTAATTGAGTCATGCCCTTTTGTTTACTTTTTATCTCATAAAAAACCTCAGTATAGGGTGCATAATTTTAGGATGCATAACTATCAGTAATTAAATCTGGACCCTTCTTTTAACTAGTTGCAGATTTAATAGTGAAAAATTAAAAGAATTTATTTTCCCTTGTTTTTTTGATTGGATCATATCTTCTTCATTCTAACTCGTATTTCAATTTTTTTGCACAGATGGAACGAGTTTGTTGTGCTCTATAAAATGATATCCATTTTCAATATTTGTTGAGAAAAAAATTTCATACCTCTCGTTACCAACTCCATACCATATGGTATCTTCTTCGTTTTTTAGTCATTTTCGGGAAAAAAATTCACAGAAGGTACGATTTAATCATGATCTATTGGATTTAAAATTTTTCTGGGTGAAAAATTTCCATACCTCACGTTACCAACTCCATACCATACTATACCACCCTGGTATGAGGTGGTATTTTTCATGTCATATGGGATGTTGTTATTTAATACTAGTCAATACCATATAGTATAGACTGGTAATAACTGGCAAATCTTTTTTGTTCCAAAAAAATATCAAAGTGGATATCATTTTGAAGAGCACAATTAATCTGATCTAACTGTGCAAAAAAATTAAATTCCGAGTTAAAATGAGTGAGAAATCATTCGTTAAAGATTAAGGGAAGGAAAATTAAAGGTTTTTAGAGAAGAGAGAAGGAGACGCTAACAGTGGCGGAGCCAGGATTTCAAACTACCCCTGTCCTTTATTCAGAATATATATAATATTTTATAAATATAATTAAAATTAATAATATCTTAATAATTCATTCACAAAGAAACAAAAAACTGACTAATACAATTATTGTTTCATAAATAACTAGGATGAGTTTTCATATTATGAAAAAATATAAAATACATTCATTATTTACACCATAATATCGTGATAATACCTAACGAACTGTTGTAAAATGATAGTGTCATGTAATTTAATTATTTTTTGTGAATTAATGAACAAGTAATGAGTTATGTTGTAATGTTAAAATATCCTTATGTTACTTGTAAGTGATTAATTCGATCTGTACAAATATATGTGGGGTTATTTTTTTCCCTCCCCAAAAGTTGCCCCTGTCCCGGGACAGGGACAAACACCCCTGCCTCCGCCTCTGGACGCTAATATGGTGGATTCTTATTGAGTTATGCATGCACCACAAGGTTACTCACCGAATCTGCTCCCATAAAAAAACACATATATTATATATATCTATCTATTAGGTGTACCTTCTTTTTAAGACGTTTAAATTTGTCTCTACTTACAGAAATCGGGGGGAAATTTGACCTACGTAAAAGTAGGTTGTGTTAATAAGATACAATGACGATATCATAACTAACACTGTGGATATTCATACTAAAACTTATGAATGCATGCACTTTCTTAGTCATACTAGCTAGCTAGCGAGAAGCGTTTTTTTGCCAGCAAGTACATGCATATACATGTGGTTACCCGGAAAGGGGACCAACCAATAGCTGATTAATTGCGCATATAACAGTCAGAAAAATTCCAAGAGACCAATGTGTGTTGGAGAGAGCACACAAGTTATAAAGAGAAATGTCTTCACGTTTGAAAAATATTCAAGCTAAGGGCAACGGACTTGTTCTTCGATCGGGACCAGAATTAATGGTCCAACAAAACAATGGTCTTTGACACTCTATTTATAGTATGTTACTCTATTTCAATAAATTCATAGCGAGACTGTAAGACCAAGGTCGAGTAGGCCCGATAGATGATTGGATCTGAGCCACTGGCCCATCGCGGTTGGGCCTTATGGCTGTTGAGGAAGCTTGGCCCAGCCTTGCTAATTGTTTGAACTTTGAAGCTTTCAGCCGGGCGGTAATGTCTATTCATTTAGTACGTGAAAACGGTGCGGTGTAAACCAGACCATATATATACGTTTTATGGTATAGACCAAGAAGCTAGAATATAGATCATAAACTATACTGTTTAGATCTGACCACACTCAATGAAAAATAAACAATTTGTTTAGTTAACTAAACAAAAAATTGAACTGATAGCCAAGAAAAAATTTATTTTTTTTTTGCCTTGAAACATAAATTCTAACATGCATGAATAATTTTGATTTTTGACACCCTAAATCTCAATAGATAATAGAGGTACAAAGTCAAAACATCCCTACTTGCACCATAACATCATAAACATTAACACAATGTCATATAGAGACACGAGTGCCTCTACTATCTGGTGAAATGTGGGTGGGAATGAAGGAGGGGATGAGATTCTCAAAATTAAGGTTGGGACTTGGGAGAGTGGTCGAGTAGGCTGCTAACACGTATTGACAAGTCGGTTTGGTCCGGTAAATCGTGGTCTAGACCAGACCAAGAGATCAAAACATCATATAATACAAACCATGGACCAGACTAAACCATACTTAAGTTAATGATGTATGGTCCGGACCAAACTGTGCGATTCGATTTGGACTACAGTTTTTCTAACGGTCTGGTCTATTTTTTCGGCCCTAATTCGCTTCCCAAATTTCGGCACAGGTTTTAGTGTAGGTTGACAGAAACTAACTGAGTGCGACTAAGTTTGAAATATTTATTAGTTCTAGCTAGGGGTGTCTGTTCGCGTTGGGTTCGGTTACCCGATAAAATCCGAAAACCCTAACTCAAAATCATTGAAAACCAAACCCAAAATCGATAAGGATTTTTTTTTATTTTCGGTTACCTGAAATCCGAAAAAATCATTATCAGGTTCGGTTAAAGAAAACCCGAAACCAAACCCCTAAGAATATGGGCCAACGCCCAACTGCTATTCCTTGAGGGTTTTCAACCGAAACCCAAAAAATTGGTAAGTAAAACCAAACCCAAAACCAAAAATCCGAAACTCGAAACAAACCCGATCCCAAAAATCCAGCACTGTACCTAATCAATTTGGTTCGATTAAAACCGAACCCAAATGGACACCACACCCGTAGTTCTAGGCTTCTAGCAACCATGAACGGAATAAAACATTTTTAGTGACTAGGCATTACTTTTTTCAGTAATCCAGTGACCAGACTTGTAATTTCCCCATTGATTTCGCCATTTCCAAATTCTTTTACGTTTTCAATCGTCTCTTCTTCCTTCCTGATTTCTGTCAATTCCTTTTCTTGCAAGCTCTCTTGTTTCACAGTCGCAGATCGAATCTGATCAAATTCCCAATCAACCCTCCCTCCCCAATCTCCTTTCTCCTCGTTCCTCGCAGATCCTCCCTCCTCTTCCGCCGCTGCGCTGCCGCCCTCGGCGTTTCCTAGTCCTCCCTCTCTTCCGCCAGAAACGTAGAAGGAGGAGGAAAGCTGGTGGAAAGGCGCGAAAAATGCTGAAATTCCTCAAGGGAGTGGTGGGTGGATCTGGGGCGGGGCTCAAGGATCTCCCTTACAACATCGGCGAGCCTTACCCTTCCGCCTGGGGCTCTTGGACTCACCATCGCGGCACCTCCAAGGTCACCCTTCTCTTCCTGCATTGCTTCTGCTCTCCATCATCTATGCATTTGCTCGTATAGCTAGGCGTGATTCCTGCGCCATTGCCAAGTCACAGTTATGTTTCGTTTTGTTACTGTGCTTCCTCCGTGTCCATCTCTGCGCTGGCAATATCTTCTTCGAGCTATTTTGCTGCTGTCCCAAGTCTGTTTATGCGAATCGAGTATGCGTGGTGTTGGATGCCTCACACTGTTCTTGATTGTTCTTCAACACTTCATATTGAAATTCTCTTCTCGGCGGACTACTTGCTTATAGAAATGCAATGTCACGACATACCAACCGTGATCCCTTAGTTTCAGAACTTCTATAGGGTGTTGGATATCTCTGCTCCCACACTGTGCTAGTAGCTTGCTGTTTGATATATCATTAGGGTGTTGTGTTGTAACTTTGGAGCTTATTTGCTGAACGGATTCAAGTCAAGGAGATGAAGGAGTTAGGTGGTTTCTAATCAGGGGATTTTTCAGCTTGGCCTAACTTTGGTGAATTTTGGGATTATATTTCGACGAAAGAGGAGTAGTATTGAGGATGTGTATCAACCTACGAAGTTTTGGCTCGTTGCTCCTTTTATTCTTCTTGTCGTGCAGTTTGTTGATGCTGGTATATATTTCAGGATGACGGTTCTCCAGTGTCAATCTTCTGCCTCTCTGGAAGCAGTGCACAGGATGGACATTTAGCAGCTGGTCGTAATGGGGTTAAGCGTCTTCGAACTGTAAGTTTACTTGGTCTGGAGTTGTAATCGAGTTCCCCTTGCATGCTATCTGGATTTTTTTCTAACCTTTATGGTTTTAAATTCATTTGATGAGGCCATTTATGGTTTGCAATAGCACTAGAAATTCACTATAGTGTCTCCTGAATGTTTTTTCATTGCTTCTTTGCAGGTTAGGCACCCTAACATTCTATCCTTTCTTCATAGTACCGAGCTTGAAACTGTTGATGGCTCGATGTCCAGGATTACTATATACATGGTCACTGAGCCAGTTATGCCACTTGCTGAGAAGATCAAGGAACTTGGTCTGGATGGCACACAAAGGTATGCTGTTCCAAGGTTATGTTATGGTAATGCAGGGAGGATTGAACTAGTGTATAGGGATTTGTGAACTTGCAATTGAATTTCAACTGCATGGATTGATATGCTACGGTTCAGATGTTGTGTAACATGACAGAACTTCCATTAATTATATGTTTCGAGAAGATTTCCTTACAAGTCAATGGTTCACATTTTAGCCGGATAATTCTTTGGCGGAGTAACTGTACATTGTCTCTAGAACTACATGCAGTTTTTGTTTTAGGACTTGTAACCCTGTCTTAGGCGAAATGCTAGCGTGCTTTGCTTTTGTTCCCTTCTATACCACTGCTCATGGTTTAATATGGGTGGGCAGGGTTCATCATTAGTTCCAGATACATTTCAATGTGAGCTTCGTTTCAATAAATGGATCCTTAGTTTCTTAGAATTTGGACAAGGTGATGTGGAGAGCCAATATTCTGTTACAAGCTTGAGTAGCAGATGATTGACTGTCCTGGTTAGCAAATGATGTCTCTCCATTCTGTCCTTGCTCAGTTTCAGCTTCCATAAGTCGGAAATCCTGATGTGCTGTACAATTTTGTTTTGACTTCTAATGCTTATGTTGCAGGGATGAGTATTACGCGTGGGGGCTGAACCAGATATCTAAAGCTGTCAGCTTCTTGAATAATGATTGTAAACTTGTAAGTTTCCTGAAACTGCTAGTTAGTTGGGTAACATACAGAATGTCTCCTCTCCTCGCCCCTCTCTTCCCTTTTGTTCATTATTAGTCGTGTCAGTTTCTAATTGTATTTTTCACAGGTTCATGGTAATGTTTGCTTGACCAGCGTGGTTGTCACACCGACCTTGGACTGGAAGTTGCATGCTTTTGATGTCCTATCAGAATTCGACGGGAACAATGAAAATGCAAATGGGCCTATGCTGGTAAGGGGACAAGAGTGATATATTTATTTGTATGATGTCTTGCACATTGATATTCACAATCGTTGCTTTATTTTAGTATCTCGGGCATCCTTTTTGTAGTCTTTATGTTGCAAAATTCAGATCTAAAGGTCTTGGAGTTCATGATAGTCTCAGATTTTTTGGTAGACCATAAATCAGACTAGTGCCTCCTTGTACTTCCATACCTTTTCAGCTTTTGAAAATCCAGCTGTAGTTGTTTTTGTACTAGTTTTCAGCTTTCCTTTTCATCCTCCCAACAGCAATATGAATGGATGATTGGAGCACAATACAAACCAATGGAGTTGGTGAAGTCTGATTGGGTTGCAATCAGAAAATCTCCACCTTGGGCTATTGATGCTTGGGGTTTGGGTGAGTCTTCTTGACAGGAGCTTTTTATTAATCTTGAGCTAATTAATGATTGTTTGTAGTTTATTTAGCTTATAGTGTGCTTTCGGGATGATGTTCTTCTGAAATCATCTTGTTCCAAGTCGACTGAACTAAGTTGGTGTCATAAAGCTTTGTATGTGACATCAACTGGATAGATGAATTGGATTTGTCCATCATGTTCGCGTAAGGGCCCTTGTGCGCAAGGTGATTATTTGTGTTTCGTGATTTTGATAGGCTGCCTTATCAATGAACTCTTTTCTGGTACGAAATTGGCAAAGACGGAGGACCTACGCAGCACTGCAGCCATTCCTAAGGTATGTTGGTTTTGCACATTTATTTCTCCTATTGAGTGTAATTTAATCTCAATTCTCATTTTCAAGTGTTTCTGCTGATCTTTTTGTGTTCCAGTCTTTGCTTCATGATTATCAACGACTATTGAGTTCTATGCCTTCTCGCAGGATGAATGTATCAAAACTCATTGAGAATGGCGGTAAGTGGTTTATTTATTCATGTTGTTATATTAGGTAGCTTTAGATGAGTAAAGAAATTCCATGTACAATGTGGAAATATAGCTTGCATATTAGGTTTGGTCTTGTGAATAGTAGAGAAGTGGCAACTAACTATTATGAACATGATAAGTAGTGAGTAGGAAGACAAAGTGAAGTGGTTATGTGGGGCTATTCCGTATTTGTGCCTAAGGGATCTGATCTTTCTTGGTGCATGAGGTGCTGGTTTACTGCTTTTGAGGAAGATTTGGAACCTCAACCTTTCTGTTAATATCCATCTTTATTGTTTCCGACTTGTTTGGATTAAAATACTCGTGATTGCGGTAAATAAGAGGAGAAATACATAGTAGAGAGAAAGATGGAAATGATAATATTGATGAAAAAGTAAAGGCCAAGATGAAGGTAAAATGAGTGAGGATGAATTACCATGTCATTAACTGTCTTGCTCATCCAAATATGAGAGATTATGATCTTTACTTTATAGACTCCACTTGATACAGATGGGAGCTCAACTATCTGGATAGACATAAATGGCTGTCATTATCCCTGTTGAATTCAAATTTCTTTACATCCTTTGCATAGCTAAAATGAATTCATATTTCAAGCCTTGTTCATCTGGTGTCTTATCCAGCCTTTTCTTTCTTATGCATGTTGTTACTGTTTTTCTGTATTTTTATCTTTGTTGGGGCCTTGGTCTCTTATGCTTGTCCATTTCTATACTAATTTCAGAGTACTTCCAGAATAAATTGGTGGATACCATACATTTTATGGAAATTCTTACCCTGAAAGACAGTGTTGAAAAGGATACATTCTTCCGAAAACTTCCTAATTTAGCAGAGCAGCTCCCACGTCAAATCGTACTTAAAAAGGTGCGAACACTGAATCCAATATGTGTGCATCTGTAAATCGTATGCTCCTTTTTTCTCTTCACTGATTAGGTTTTGTCATCGACAGTTGCTTCCTTTATTAGCTTCTTCCCTGGAATTTGGCTCTGCGGCTGCCCCTGCTTTAACTGCATTGTTGAAGATGGGCTCCTGGCTTTCGGCTGAAGAATATACTCTCAAGGTCGCTTTTTATGTCTTTTCTCTGGGGATGATTACTTTTAATCAATTTCTATTTTTTTCAATATATATTGAGCACAAAATGACTATTGACTTTTTCATGGTTTTTCCACCCTTAATTATACTTCTCTTATTTGTAGGTGTTGCCAACAATTGTAAAACTTTTTGCCTCCAATGACCGTGCTATTCGAGTTAGTCTACTTCAGCACATTGACCAATATGGGGAGTCATTAACTGCACAATTAGTTGACGAGCAGGTATCCTGTAGATGATCATATGACTCTTATTATCATTTTCATCTAGTTAGACCTTTACTTTTGAGCTTTCTCCTGATTCTTGGTTTTAACTTTGATATCACTAGGTTTATCCTCATGTTGCGACAGGGTTTTCTGACACATCCGCTTTTCTTCGTGAACTGACTCTTAAATCCATGCTTATCTTGGCTCCTAAGGTAAAGTTTATACTCTAAACTAAAGTGGTCCTTTGTTTTTGTATGATTAACATCTTTGTGTTGTCAATTTAATTCTTCACCTTGTTATTAAACCTGTGTTTTTTTTAGCATCTTCATGGATAATTAAATGGGTCCAATCTCTTCTCTTGTGCAAAGTGATTCTTTGTGTCTGTACTTACATACCGCATAGTAGCTTTGTACTTGTATCCTCACGATCTTCATGGAAGTTAAGAAGCATATATTATATATACCATTATGGAACCTTGGATTGGTCAAGTAAGCAGCATCATATTCTAGATAAAATGGGAGAGAAATGAATGAAACATAAAAAATATCAGAATTAGAACTGGAGAAATGTTAGACAAAGAACACTTTATAGTTCCTGTTGCTAGAGTGCCATATTCTGGCTTCCACTTCAGAAGTTATTCTTACTTTCTCGTCAATTATTTTATCTTAGACTCCTGGAATGTGTGATACTAAGGCTGCATAGCTATGTGTGGGTTCGTTACATAGACATCATTTTTTGGTTATGATTTTTTTTGTCACAAGGAATAATTTTGTATGTTTACTGACTCCTTTATGATATGATTCTATTTGACTGGATGCTTGCAGCTTTCTCATCGAACTATTTCAGGCTCCCTTTTGAAGTATCTGTCAAAGTTGCAGGTATTTTTCTTGTATACTTTTCCTGTTATTCTTGCAATTGCCTGGATATTGTCTGCACAAGATAAATAACATAAATGTACGTGCTCACCCATTCCCTTAGGCCTTGGATCAATATAAATCTTCTGGATTCTTATTCAACTTTCGGATGCAATTGTGACTTACTCTTGGTGGTGGTAAAAAATGATCTGGGTCAATATATATGCACTTATCAGAACTGGAACTCCGCTTGATATCTCTTAGGCACTGAACCTTCTCCTTTTATGAAAGCCACTTGGTCGTACTTCAGATGTTACATTATGATCATTCCTTGGATTGTGCACCAATTGATATTGTGCAATATGAAGCTTTGTTCCTTTGTTGTTGACATATCTGCGTTGCTAATTGCTGCACATGTTAATTTAGATATTCTTACTATAATAGGTATAAATGAACGTGGAAAGCTGAATAGTGTTAATGTGGATGTAGATGAATTATGTTTATGTTTTAAGGTCTAGAGCAACATACAATATAGTGGTGAGATAGCCTATCAAATATTGACTATTATACCAGGACGAGAGGATCTTAAATTGGGTAGTGAGGTTAAAAGATAATTTTAGTTATCACATGTGAGAAATTCCAAAATTTGTTAAAGTATACCAAATTACTGATTCTTGGGGAGAAAGTACTTGAATCAGCCTGTCAATCCCAATTTGTACGGATATTATCTATGTGGGCACTAGTTATTACTCCAACTTCTGTTGCTTATATTTTTCAAACTTCAAATTCTTGTAGGTTGATGAAGAACCTGCAATTAGAACAAATACCACCATATTGCTTGGAAATATTGCAAGCCACATGAATGAAGGGGTAAATATGAGTTGGATTGTTATGTTATCACATTTCTAGTTGTCCCAAGATGACTATCTGTGTGTTGTTTCTAATTTCACATACTTTGAATAATTTTAATTTCCTTTGTTCCAAAACAGACAAGGAAGAGAGTTCTAATAAATGCTTTTACGGTCCGTGCGTTGCGTGACACTTTTTCTCCTGCAAGGGGGGCAGGTATTTTGTTCATTTAATTCTCTTTCTTTGTTGTGGGAAAAATCCATTGCTTGGCAAGGCTATATTGATTCCTGTTCTGCAGTTACCAACTGCTATTAGGTCCTCAACTTTGCTACTTAAAGTACATGCATTTGCTGTATTGTTTAGTTCGCTTGGGAGTTGTGCTGTTTTGACTTGTTACTGTGCTGACCAATATGAACCTGTAATGTGGCAGGAGTAATGGCTCTGTGCGCTACTAGTTCTTATTATGATGCTACCGAAATAGCAACTCGGATCCTTCCAAGTGTCGTTGTACTCACTGTTGATCCTGACAGGTTACACGGATCACCTGCACTTTGTTATTATCATGCACGAATGTAGGTGAAATTGAAGGCTTGCTTCTTTTGCAGTGATGTTCGGGCAAAGTCATTTCAAGCTGTTGAGCAATTTTTGCAAATTGTAAAGCAATATCATGACAAGGTAGGTTACCTCGGTTATTGGTACCTTTATAGTTTGTATTCTGTTTCAATAATATAATGCACAAATGATATGGAATTCTAATGAGCGCACATGATTGAATGGAAACTTGGGCTGGACTCCATTGAGGATGAGGGAATGTAGTATTATCTTAGTCTTTGAAAAGACAGTCCTTGCTGGTCCGGGGTGGGGGTGGGTGTTTGGAATTCTTTGACCTGCCTTTGAACTTAGCCATTCCCAGATATCTGATGTGCTCCTATATGTTGCCTTCCTCTTTTATTATTTTACAGGCAAGTTCAGGAGATGATGATATGACCATTGGAATGTCATCTATTCCAGGAAACGCTGGTTTGCTCGGGTAAGTTGAATTCTTAGTATCGTTTCTGTATGGAGATTGTTAAATTGATTTGGGTGAATGTGGTTGGTGTATCTGCTTTCATGCTTGTCTGTTATTGATTTTATCTGTTTCACTTCCTCCTTGAAGAAGAGCAAAAGCCTTGTGCAACAGCAACGTTGTTGCATTTTTCAAGGTTTTCTGTTACTTTTGTGCTTAGATGATGCCTGCTGTTTGTCCGATCAGAAAAGCAAAAAGAAACCTCCCTTTGTACATATGTCATGCTGCTGATATTATTCTGTGTTCAAATTCCGACTTCTCTATTAGTCTTTTGAAAATGCACAACTTACGCTTTTAAATAAGATGTGGATTTTAATTAGCCTTTGGGATTTTAGAGGCCATTTAATGTTTAAACTTCTTTTCAATTGTCACAGAATGAGTTTTTCTTGGTCCATTCAATGTATAATTAAAGCAAGGACTAAAACCTATGTTTATTCTTTTCTTTTTCTATAATGAAATCTCCTTATATTCTTCTGACAACAAAAAGTCTTCTGTATTCTGATGTGTTACAACTCTTGAGACATTTTTGGTACTTTTCCTGGTTATTTATATAGTACACCATGATATAGAATTTGACAATTTGTGCTTTATATTTATTTTTGTAGATGGGCTATGAGCTCTTTGACCCTGAAAGGCAAGCCTTCTGAACAAGCAGCTCCACTTGTGCCAGCAAATTTGGCCGCTCCTCTGACTTCTGCTGCCTCTAATGCCAGCTCTGGTAAGTACCCTGAATTCTTTCGGTCCTCTAGTTGTGTAGTTGTGCAATCATACACAACTTAGTAGGTGCGCCAGTCAGCGTGCTTTTGTAGGTCATTTCAGACACATTCTGTAACTCTTGTGCAAATCCATACCATGAGAAAATTTAATGTTTGTGTTTTACATCTCTTGGTAGTTGACCCAATGTCCATTCAGATGCAGTGAACCCTAGGATGCCAATGCCTTAGATGTGCCATCGTTTGGCATGCACCGATAAGTTCTTATCTCAATTTGATAGGTGATGTTGTAGAGTTAAAAACCCAAACAAAGGTGGGCTAAAGAGTTTTGCTCAGCCAAAAACTTGGAAGAGGATGAGATTTAATCACAGAACTTTGCTTAACCGAACTTTGATTTCTTTTCATTTGTGTTGTGGCATTGTTCACAAACAATATCTGATACTGAAATCTCTGTCGGTCTGCAGTGATGGATACACAAAGTACAGTGTCGGATCGTGCAATGTCTAGCATGGATTTTGCTGATCAACCAGAGCCTGGGTCACCGACTTCAACTGATGCTGATGGTTGGGGAGAAATCGAAAATGGAATTGGCGAAGATCATAACGTTGAGAAGGATGGTTGGGATGAACTTGAACCACTGGAAGAGCCAAAGGCATCCCCGGCTCTTGCAAGTATTCAAGCTGCTCAGAAACGGCCTGTTGTTCAACCAGTGTCACAGGCAAAACAGCCAGGTAATGTCATTCATGTACAGTGATGAAGCCTCAAACCTGCAAGTGTCACTATTAATCACTTCAAATCCAACATCCCTCTAGATGAGAAACATGCAAAATTTTATGTTTTATGTTTTGTCATGTATGTCGATATGTTTTTTCTCAATATTACCTTGAAACCTATGTCAAATCTAACTGCTCTTCTGTATTGTATCTCACCAACTTCAGCCACAAGTTTGAGACCCAAAACCACGGCGAAGCCACCAAGAGATGAAGATGATGATTTGTGGGGATCAATAGCAGCTCCTGCTCCAAAAACCGGATCAAAACCGTTGAATACTAAACCAAGTGCTTCTTTCGACAACGATGATCCATGGGCTGCCATCGCTGCACCTGCTCCCACCACGCGGGCAAAACCATTGTCGCTTGGGAGAGGACGAGGTTCCAAAACTACTGCACCGAAACTAGGCGCACAGAGGATAAACCGAACAGGGTCGTCGGGTGGTATATAATTTAGAAACTCGGCAGCAAGCGAGTGATCGCCCCTTATCGAATGGTAGTCGTGTACGTCTTTTTTGGTCTCCACCTTAGCGACTGGTCATGTTAAAATTACGAAAGTGCTGGTCGCCCGGTAGTTTGTATCATTTTCTTCGAACAATCGAGTGGTAACATCATTCTTTTTTCTACCCTACAGATGGTATACAGGAAAAGTCAATGCTGTAGAACAACTGCTTTAATTGAACAGGGAAGTCTTTCTTGTGTTGTCGTATAGAACTAGATGAAGAGTATGGTCGGCAGTGTTCAGATAGACCACTTGTAAAACTGAGCTGTGTTTTTCGTGTACTCTTCTGAAGACAGGTAATGGTTTTGAGAGGGTTACAAATACACAAAAATGTTTGAGTTGCACTACGGTAGAAAGTAATCTCAAATCTACCCGTCTATTATTGTGATAAGTATATTTGTGTCCCATACAAATTAGCAGGTTTGTACGCTAATACATTTTGAATTTTTAGAAGCAAGGTTGTCAACTCGGTTAGCATGTTGGTTCGCTTGAGCAAGTGGGTTGATCAGACACCGACTCGGGCTCCGAATTCCGATACCGATGAAGGACAAACCCATGAGCGGCGACGTGGACGGTAAGACGGAAGGAGGAGGAATGGGACGGAGTGCTGGGTGCGGCTTCCCCGCCGACTGCGGTTCTGATCCTCTAGAAGCTGACGGCGACAGTGAGGACGATGTCGGAAAACAAACGCTGATGTAGTCAAACACCAGCGGGTCCAGGGCTGAATACACCGCGTTCATGATTGGAACTCGAAAACGAATTGTTGCGGTAGAGAAGAAGAAGAAGAACGGCATAGTGAGTGAGTGGGATTTGTTGTTCTTTCCTTTATATTGAAGGCAAAATACATCTCTATAGCCAAAACTTTGACGATTTTGCCAATAATAGCCACTTTTGCGAAAATACACAAAATAGCCATTTCCGTCCAATTCTTTGACGGTGTCAAGTAACGGACTGACTGGACTAACGACATTGCTGAGTTGGCGACAGTTAATTAATAAAAATTATGAGGTGGAAAATAAAAATAAATAAATAAAATATTTTTATTTTATCTCTCCCATCTCTCTACTGTATGCAATCTTCCATTCAATGTTGACCTTAAATCAATCGCCTCTTTCAGTAAAAAAAAAAAAAAAATCAATCGCCTCTTCACTCCTTCAACATATTCGGAAAGCCATCATAAGCCATTGTTGCTTCCTTCAAGGAATTTTGTTTCAGCTCCATTTCAGATACCATCTTCTGTCCATCCCCCAAGCCGAGTCTCCCAAGAAGCAGAAAAACCCCAAAATCGAAAACCCTAAACCTACCTCCAATTCTCCAGATTTAGCACCCGATGGGAAGGTTCCCGACCCTGAACCACCCGCTCACGGCGGAGATTCTTCTGCTGACCAGAAATTAGAGCTGTCCAAGATGGAAGGTGCTAGAAGTCACTGTCGTCTTCACTGTGGTCGGCGACAGAGCCATTGGATGCGAAGCCGATATGGACAGAGGTTGGATATGTCCAACGGCGGCTGCTCCAACTCGGATGTTGACACCAGATCTCGCCGGTGGGTCGTGAGGTGATTCTCTATCCGGAACAAATCTCACCGAGGGAGAAGGAAAGGAGCTTTTGTCTTCCACCTCCCAAACCACCATCGAAATAGATTCCCTCGACGAAGGTATCGACTTCTTGATGCCTCCTCCCCCAACTCGCCATCGACTTCTTGGTGCGCCATCTTCCTCGTTTCAATATCCATCGCCGGCAACGGAGGCAAAGAAAAGGATGAGGCAGGGAGGCGAACATCGGGACAACATTGTCATCTTTAGCGTTCTTTCAAATCCCTAATATCCAATTGATAGCTTCATCCCATTCTTTATTCCCGATTGAGCGTGTGTGATTTTCATTTTTTTGTGTGGCCATAGCTGGTGTGAGTCTCGTCGCTGGTTGGTTCTCGTTCCGGGGAGAATTGGGGGAGAAGTTCGGTGAATAATGAGAAGGAGAAGAGATTCAATCGGAGAAGATGAAGTGAGGGGAAAAGAACATAAGAATTAAATTAAAAAAATTTAATTTTTTAAAATTGAATTTTTTAATATGACTTGGCATCCACCTGTTATCGGAGTTGAGGTGGAAATGAAAACGAGGGTGAGTTGGCAGCCAGGTAAGTGTGCTGTTAATATGACTAACGGTGTCACTGACGCCGTTAAAATATTTAACGAAAATGGCTATATTTGTCATGAAACTTTCAAAATTCTGGCTATTTTCTGTATTTCGCCAAAAGTGGCTATTATTGTCACAAACGTAAAAGTTTTGGCTATACAGATGAATTTTGCCTATATTGAATGGCGAAAGCTACGAGGAAGTTTTGCAAGAGAAGAAAGAGAAGAGAGTGAGGGGATTTAAATTATTTTATCAAAAATTAATATAAAAAATGATAAATTCTTGTATTCTTTTGGTATTAACTTTTTTAGTAGGACATAAATTGATATTAACTTTTTTCAGAGGCAAAACATTAAAATTTTGGTAAACTTAGTGATCAAACTTGACATTTACTCATTATATAAGTCATTATATTGTTTGGTAGGACATAAATCATTATATTATTAATACATTTATAAATTATATCAAACATTATCTAACATATGAGCAATAACATGATACCAAACTAACAGTTCGTACTTGAAACCAACAATTTAGAGAAAATTCAAACACACTCATATAGCATCAATATTCAAATGTTCATCTTAGAATTACAAAGACAAAGTTACATGCGATACCGAAAAAAGAGATGCAATTCGCAAGTCAAAGGGAAAAACAGTGTCGTATGACCCTGCGACCTCGGAAACCTTGTTGTGGGTCTCTATCCGCGGCAAAAGTGGTGCACATTTTCATCACAAGTCCTGTACTCGGGCTAACCCATGCCTTGACAACCTTGCTTAGAAGTGAAGAGGAAGTCGATAGGAGCATCATGTTTCCTCTTCGATCAATGTTCTTGTGAAAAGTTCGTCTTCCTCTTGTACAAGCTTCCTTATTGTCCAAACTTCTTACTTGAACAAACAGGACCTTGTAAAACCACTCCCTACATGACGAAAAATCATCAAGCACAACAACAACAACACATCATTATATACAGAATGTCTATAATCAAAGTTGTGCTCATTAAATTTTCGACTAATTTGGCTATGAGGCAGGCATAAACATGTACTTACACCTTTATAAGAAAATAAATAAAGTACTTACACAAAAGTGTCACTATGTACAGAATGTCTATGATTAATTAGTTCCACAAATGAATTTTGCCACGAATCTGACTATGATGCCTATGCTCCTTATCATAAATATATAATTATGCTAAGAACTACAAGGGGAAATAAAATATCATACACATATAGAAATCCAATTTACCATTGTCCTTCACTTATTCTGGTAAATTACTAATTTGGTTGCTTCTTTTTTTGTTGCAATTTGAGTTGTTTTTTCTTCTTCTTTCTTCTTGCCGCCATTGAGGTAGAGCAAGGAATAATATAACAATATTTATAGGTAAAAATATGAAAGAAACCAAAGAAAGAAACGGTTAATTAATCAATATTTTTGGGGAACGTGAATTGTGAATTTATAGGGGAATATGGATGCATATATGGACATAGTGAAAATGGAAAAAATATAAATTATTCCTTTTGGTTTGTCAAGTGGGTTGGTATAGGGGAAAACATGGAAACAAATTGATTATCCGTTTTTGTTTTGAAGTGAGTAAACGTA